ACCTATATGCTGAGAACTATAAAACATTGATAAAGATAACAGAGATGATTCAAAGAAATGAGATATCTCATAGTCTTTAATTGGAAGAATTAATACTGTTAAAATGGCCATATAGGGCTTCCCTGGTGGCGCAGTGGTTGAGAGTCTGCCTGCCAATGCAGGGGACACGGGTTCGTGCCCCCGTCCGGGAAGATACCACATGCCTTGGAGAGGCTAGGCCCGAGAGCCATGGCCGCTGAGCCTGCGCATCTGGAGCCTGTGTTCCACAAAGGGAGAGGCCACAACAGTGAGAGGCCCGCATACCGCGAAAAAAAAAAAAAGGCCATATAACCCAAAGCAATCTATAGATTTAATGTGATCCCTATCAAATTACCTGACATTTTTCACAGAACGAGAACAGATTATCCTAAGATTTATATGGAATCACAAAAGATCCAGAAATGCCAAATTCATCCTGAGGGAAAAGAACAAAGTTGGAGGCATAATCCTCCCAACTTCAGACAAAACTACAAAGCTACAGTAATCAAAAACATATATATCAAGAGGACAGAACAGAGAGCCCAGAAATAAGCCCAGGAACCTACAGTCAATTAATCTTCGACAATGGAGGCAAGAATATACAATGGGGAAAAGACAGTCTCTTCAGCAAGTGGTGTGGGGAAAGCTGGATAGCCTCATGTTAGTCAATAAAGTTAGAACACTCCCTCACACCATATACAAAAATAAACTTAAAAGGCTTAAATATAACACATGACACCATTAAACTAGAAGAGAACATAGTCAAAACATTCCCTGACATAAATCACAGAAATATTTTCTTAGATCAGGCTCCCAAGGTAAAAGAAATAAAAACAAATGCAAACAAATGGGACCTAATCAAACTTACAAGCTTTCATACAGCAAAGGAAACCATGACAAAACAAAGACAACCTACGGACTGGGAGAAAATATTTGTAAATGATGAGACCATCAAGGGATTAATTTCCAAAACATACAAACAACCAATAAAACTCAATATCAAACAAACAAATGACCCAATCAAAAACTGTGTAGAAGACCTAAATAGACATTTCTACAAAGAAGACATATAGATAGCCAACAGGCACATGAAAAGATACTCAACATCAGGAATTATTAGGGAAATGCAAATCAAAACTACAATAAGGGCTTCCCTGGTGGCACAGTGGTCAAGAATCTACCTTGCCAATGCAGGGGACATGGGTTCGAGCCCTGGTCCGGGAAGACTCCCACATGCCACAGGTTCAAGCCCTGGTCCAGGAAGATTCCCACATGCCGCAGAGCAACAGAGCCTGTGCGCCACAACTACTGAGCCTGTGCTCTAGAGCCCACGAGCCACAATTACTAAGCCCATGTGCCACAAATACTGAAGCCCGTGCACCTAGAGCCTGTGCTCTGCAACAAGAAGCCAGTCCAATGAGAAGCCCGTGCACTGCAACGAAGAGTAGCCCCCACTCGCCACAACTACAGAAAGCCCACGTGCAGCAACAAAGACCCAATGAAGCCAAAAATAAATTTAAAAAAAATTAAAGATTCTCTACCATTAAAAAAAACAAAGAAACAAAAAACTACAGTGACCTCACACCAGTCAGAATGGCCATCATCAAAAAATCTACAAATAATAAATGCTGGAGAGGGTGTAGAGGAAAGGAAACCCTCCTACACTGCTGGTGGGAATTTAAATTGGTGCAGCCACTATGGAAAACAGTATGGACATTACTTTAAAAATAGAGTTACCGGGGCTTCCCTGGTGGCGCAGTGGTTAAGAATCCACCTGCCAATTCACGGGACATGGGTTCAAGCCCTGATCTGGGAAGATCCGACATGCTGCGGAGCAACTAAGCCCGTGCACCACAACCACTGAGCCTGTGCTATAGAGCCTGCAAGCCACAACTACTGAGCTCATGTGCCACAACTACTGAAGCCGATGTGCCTAGAGCTCGTGCTCTGCACGCAACAAGAGAAGCCACTGCAATGAGAAGCCCGCGCACCGCAATGAACAGTAGCCCCCATTCGCCACAGCTGGAGAGAGCCCGTGTGCAGCAACAAAGACCCAATGCAGCCAAAAATAAATAAATTAATTAAAAAATAAATAAGTAAATAAAAAATAAATTAAAAAAATAAAATAGAGTTACCATATGATCCAAATCCCACTCTTGGGCATATATCCAGGAAAGACAAAAACTCTAATTCAAAAAGATACATGCAGGGCTTCCCTGGTGGCGCAGTGGTTGAGAGTCCGCCTGCCGAGGTAGGGGACACAGGTTCGTGCCCCGGTCTGGGAAGATCCCACATGCCACAGAGCAGCTGGGCCTGTGAGCCATGGCCGCTGAGCCTGCGCATCCGCTCCGCAATGGGAGAGGCTCGCGTGTACACACACAAAAAAACAAAAAAACAAACAAAAAAGATACATGCACGCCAACGTTCATAGCAGCACTATTTACAATAGCCAAGACATGGAAGCAACCTAAATGTCCATCGACAGATGAAAGGATACAGAAGATGTGGCATATATATACAATGGAACACTACTCAGCCATAAAAAGAAAAATGAAACAATGCCACTTGCAGCAACATGGATGGACCTAGAGATTATCATACTAAGTGAAATCAGATGCAGAAAGACAAATATTATGACATCACTTACATGTGGAATCTAAACAATAATACACATGAACTTATTTACAAAACAGAAATAGACTCACAGATGTAGAAAACAAACTTATGGTTACCAAAGGGGAAAGGAGGGGAGGAGGGATAAATTAGGAGAATAGGATTAACAGATACACATCACTTAAAGTGATACAGCCACTATGGAAAACAGTGTGGAGGATCCTTAAAATACTAAAAACAGAACTACCATATGACCCAGCAATCCCACTACTGGGCATATGCCCTGAGAAAACCATAAATCAAAAAGAGTCATGAAAAAAAAAAAAAGAGTCATGTACCAAAATGTTCATTGCAGCTCTATTTACAATAGCCAGGACATGGAAGCAACCTAAGTGTCCATGAACAGATGAATGCATAAAGAAGATGTGGCACATATATACAATGGAGTATTACTCAGCCATAAAAAGAAACAAAATTGAGTTATTTGTAGTGAGGTGGATGGACCTAGAGACTGTCATACAGAGTGAAGTAAGTCATAAAGAGAAAAACAAATACCGTATGCTAACACATATATATGGAATCTAAAAAAAAAGAAACAAATGATCAGAAGAACCTAGGGACAAGACAGGAATAAAGATGCAGACCTACTAGAGAATGGACTTGAGGATACAGGGAGTGGGAAGGGTAAGCTGGGACAAAGTGAGACAGTAGCATGGACACATACACTACCAAATGTAAAATAGATAGCTAGTGGGAAGTAGCCACATAGCACAAGGAGATCAGCTCCGTGCTTTGTGACCACCTAGAGGGGTGGGATAGGGAGGGTAGGCGGGAGGAAGATGCAAGAGGGAAGAGATATGGGGACATATGTATATGGATAACTGATTCACTTTGTTATAGAGCAGAAACTAACACATCATTGTAAAACAATTATACTCCAATAGAGGTTAAAAAAATGTTTTTAATAAAATAATAATAATAATAAAGATACACACGACTATATATAAAATATATAAACAACAAGGGTTTACTGAATATAGCACAGGGAATTATATTCAATATCTTATAATAACCCATAATGAGAAAGATTCTGAAAAAGAATCTATAATGGGAAAGAATTATGAATATGTATGAATTACTTTGCTGTATACCTAAAACTAACACAATATTGTAAATCAACAATAGTTCCCCAGAAAAATTTTTTATAAATTATAAAATAAATGCGCAGTGATAAAAAAAATAGTTGGGCTTCCCTGGTGGTGCAGTGGTTAAGAGTCCGCCTGCCGACGCAGGGGACACGGGTTTGTGTCCCGGTCCGGGAAGATCCCACATGCCGCGGAGCGGCTGGGCCCATGAGCCATGGCCGCTGGGCCTGCGCATCCAGAGCCTGTGCTCCGCAACAGGAGAGGCCACAACAGTGAGAGGCCCATGTAGCACACACACACACAAAAAAATAGTTGAGTAAATTAAGGTATATTGATGAGACATTATACTGTATTACACTATAGTTCAAACTATGGCCTGTGGGCTGAGTCCAGTCTACTTCCGGTTTATTTTTTCCTGCTTTTGTCAATAAAGTTTTATAACAAAACAGCCACATTAAAAAAATAATAAAATTACGTCTTCATTATATACTACTCAAAAATGATTAAGTGATCTTTAAAATTCTTTTGTAGCTGGGAGGAAAAAAAGATATATATATATAGCTTGTGCATGTGTATGTGTATGTATGAAATGAATGGCAGCAACGATATAAGAAATAGGAGGGAAGAACTGGGATTATTTTGGTATTAGAAAGTGCTCAATACTATCTGTGAAGTGGTGTAGTGTTATTTGAAAGTAGACCTAGACTGGGTGCAAATGTATTTTACAAATTCTAGAGATTGGTTCAAGATGGTGGAGTAGAAGGACGTGCACTCACCTCCTCTTGTGAGAGCACAGAAATCACAACTAGATGCTGAACGGCCATCGACAGGAAGACGCTGGAACCCACCAAGGAGGATACCCCATATCCAAAGACAAAGGAAAAGCCATAATGAGATGGTAGGAGTGGTGCGATCACGATAAAATCAAATCCCATACCCACAGGGTGGTCAACCCACAAACTGGAGAACCATTATACCACAGAAGTCCTCCCACTGGAGTGAAGGATCTGAGCCCCATGTCCAGATTCCCAGCCTGAGGGTCTGGCAACAGGACTGGGAATCCCCAGAGAATATGGCTTTGAAGGCCAATGAGATTTGACTGCAGGATTTCCACAGGACTGGGGGAAACAGAGACCACTCCTAGAGGGCACACACAGAGACCTGTGCACACCAGGACCCAGGGGAAAGGAGCAGTGACCCCACAGGAGTCGGAACCAAACCTACCTGCTAGTGTTGGAGGGTCTCCTGCAGAGAGAGACCCTGGGTCTCTCACCATGAGAGACAGGAGCTCACCATGGGGATAGGAGCATTGGCAGCAGTGGTTCTGGGAAGCACGCATTGGCATGAGCCCTCCTGGAGGCTGCCGTTGGTCCCACCATACAGCCTGTAGGCTCCAGTGCTGGGTCACCTCAGCCAACAACTAAGAGTAAGGGAACACAGCCCCACCCATCAGCAGATGACAAGGTTAAAGTTTTACTGAGAATGGTTCTCCCCACCAGAGCAAGACCCAGTTCTATCACCAGTCCCCCCCAACAGGAAGCTTGCACAAGCCTCTTAGATAGCCTCATTCACCAGAGGGCACACAGAAGCAAGAACTACAATCCTGCAGCCTGTAGAACGAAAACCGCAATCACAGGAAGTTAGACAAAATGGAAAGGCAGAGAATTATGTTGCAGATTAAGGAATAAGATGAAACCCCAGAAATATAACTAAGTGAACTGGAGATAGGCAACCTTCCAGAAAAAAGAATTCAGAATAATGATAGTGAAGATGATCCAGGATCTCGGAAAACGAATTCTAGGACAAATACTAAAAAAATTTTTAAAGAGAAAAAACTATAACATATATGCTAAGAAATGAGAGAAAATGTAATCACATAAATGCTCAACTAAAACCATAAAAGGCATCCACCAGAGGGCAGATAGCAGAAGGAAGAACTACAATCCTGCAGCCTGTGGAATGGAAACAACAATCACAGAAAGTTAGTCAAAATGAGACAGCAGAGGAATTTGTGAAAGGGACAAGATGAAACCCCAGAACAACAACTAAGTGAAATGGAGATAGCCAACCTATCAGAAAAAGAATTTAGAATAATGATAGTGAAGATGATCCAAGATATGGGAAAAACAATGGAGGCAAGGATAGAGAAGATTCAAGAAATGTTTAACAGAAACCTAGAAAAACTAAAGAACAAACAGAGATTAATAATATGAGAACTGAAATGAAAAATACAAAAGGATTCAATAGCAGAATTAAGTGAGGAGAAGAACGTGACTTAGAAGGTAGAATGGTGGAAATCACTGCCGCGGAAAAGAATAAAGAAAAAAGAATGAAAAGAAATGAAGAGAGTCTAAGAGACCTCTGGGACCAACATTAAACACACCAACATTCACATTATAGGGGTCCCAGAAGGAGAAGAAAGAGAGAAGGGCCCTGAGAAAACACTTGAAGAGATAATAGCTGAAAACTTCCCTAACATGGGAAAGGAAACAGTCACCCAAGTCCAGGAACTGCAGAGAGTCCCAGGTAGGATAAACCCAAGGAGGAACACACCGAGACACATAGTAATCAAACAGACAAAAATTAAAGACAAAGTATTAAAAGCAACAAGAGAAAGCTGACAAACAACATACAAGGGAACTCCTGAAAGGTTATCAGCTGATTTCTCAGCTGAAACTGCTGACCAGAAGGGAGTACCACAATATATTTAAAGTGATGAAAAGGAAGAACCTACAACCAAGAATACTCTACCCAGTGAGGCTCTCACTGGGATTTCATGGAGACATCAAAAGCTTTACAAACAAGCCAAAGATAAGAGAATTCGGCACCACCAGACCAGCTTCGAAACAAATGCTAAGGGAACTTCTATAGGCGAGAAAGAAAGCAGCAACTTAAAACAATCTTGTACATATACAGACGGCTATATCAAAACCCTATGGGAACAGCAAACCCCAAAACTACAATAGATGCACACAAAAAAAGAAAAAACAACCCAAACACAACACTAAAGATGGTCATCAAACAAGAAGAGAAGGGAAGAAAAAAGACCTCCAAAAACAAGCCCAAAACAATTAACAAAATGGCAATAGGAACATGCATATTCATAATTACCTTAAATGTAAATGGATTAAATCCTCCAACCAAAAGACACAGACCTGCTGAATGGATACAAAAACAAGACCCATATATATGCTGTCTACAAGAGACCAACTTCAGACCTAGGGACACATACACATTGAAAGTGAGGGGATGGAAAAAGGTATTCCACACAAATGGAAATCAAAAGAAAGCTGGGGGGGTCTTCCCTGGTGGCGCAGTGGTTGAGAATCTGCCTGCTAATGCAGGGGACACGGGTTCGAGCCCTGGTCTGGGAGGATCAAACATGCCACGAAGCAACTAGGCCCGTGAGCCACAACTACTGAGCCTGCGCGTCTGCAGCCTGTGCTCCGCAACAAGAGAGGCCGCCATAGTGAGAGGCCCATGCACCGCGATGAAGAGTGGCCCCCGCTTGCCACAACTAGAGAAAGCCCTCACACAGAAACGAAGACCCAACACAGCAAAAATAAATTAATTAATTAATAAACTCCTACCCCCAACATCTTCTTAAAAAAAAAAAAAAAAAAAGAAAGCTGGACTGGCAATACTCATATCAGACAAAATAGACTTGAAAACAAAGACTGTTATAAGAGACAAAGAAGGATACTACATAATGATCAAGGGATCAACCCAAGAAGAAGAAGATATAACAATTGTAAATATATATGTACCCAAAATAGGAGCACCTCAATATACTGAATATAAGGCAAATACTAACAGCCATAAGGGAGACATTGACAGTAACACAATAATAGTGTGGGACTTTAACACCCCACTTTCATCAATGGACCGATCATCCAGACAGAAAATCAATAAGGAAACACAGGCCTTAAATGACACATTAGATCAGACGGACTTAATTGATATTTATAGAGCATTCCATCCCAAAGCAGCAGAATAAACATTCTTCTCATGTGCACACAGAACTTACTCCAGGACTGACCACATGCTGGGCCACAAAGCAAGCCTCGGTAAATGTAAAAGAATTGAAATCGTATCAAGCATCTTTTCTGACCACAACACTATAAGGTTAGAAATAAACTACACCATTGGTCAACGTCGGTAATTATTAGAGAAATGCAAATCAAAACCATTGATGCAATGAGATATCACCTCACACCAGTCAGAGTGGCTACCATCAAAAAATCCACAAACAATAAATGCTGGAGAGGGTGTGGAGAGAAGGGAACCCTCCTACACTGTTGGTGGAAATGTAAATTGGTACAGCTACTGTGGAGAACAGTATGGACATTCCTTAAAGAGCTAAAAGTAGAGCTATCGTATGATCCTGCAATCCCGCTCCTGGGCATATATTCAGAGAAAAGCATGATCCGAAAGGATACATGCATCCCAATGTTCACTGCAGCATCTTTCACAATAGCCAAGACATGGAAGCAACCTAAATTAGGTCCATTGACAAATGAATGGATAAAGTAGATGTGGTACACATATACAATGGAATATTACTCAGCCATAAAAAGAATGAAACAATGCCATTTGCAGCAACATGGATGGACCTAGAGATTGTCATACTGAGTGAAGTCAGACAGAGAAAGACAAATATCGTATGATATCACTTATATGCGGAATGTAAAAACAAATACACAAACACACACACACACACACACACACACACACACACACACACACAAGTGAAGTAATTTACAAAACAGAAACAGACTCACAGACTTAGAGAACAAACTTATGGTTACCAGAGGGGAAGGCGGGCAGGGGAGGGATAGTTAGGCAGTTTGGGATTGACAGGTACACACTGCTATATTTAAAATAGATAACAAGGACCTACTATACAACACAGGGAACTCTGCTCAATATTATGTAACAACCTAAATGGTGAAAGAATTTGAAAAACAGATACATGTATATGTATAACTGAATCACTTTGCTGTACACCTGAAACTAACACAATGTTGTTAATTAACTATACTCCAGTATAAAACAAAAAGTTAATAAATACATACATACATACAAAACCACAAAAGGCAGTATTACTGAATCACTTTGCTGTACAGCAGAAATGAACATAACATTGTAAATCAACTATACTTCAATAAAATAAATTTTAAAATAAATAAATAAATAAATCCTCCATTTTATATATACACACAAAATAAAACACAAACAGCAGAAAAGAGTGGAAAACAAAAATATGAACAAAGAACAAGGGCAATGATAGAAAATAGCAATAAATATGATAGACATCAATCCAACTATATTAATAATCACTTTGAAAGCCAATGGTCTAAGTATAATAATTAAAAGACAGAGATTGCCAGAGTGGATTAAAAAACAAGACCCAACTATATGTTACCTACAAGAAAGCCACTTTAAATATAAAAACACATGTAGATGAAAAGTAAATGAATGGAGAAAAATATACCATGCTAATACTAATCAAAAGAAAGTAGAAGTGCTATATTAATTTCAAACAGAACAGACTTCAAAGGAAGGAAAGTTATCAAGGATAAAGAAGGGCATATCATAATGATAAAGGGGTCAATTCTCCAAGAAGATGAAACAATGTATACGCAGCTAACAAGACTGTAGAACTACATGAGACAAAAAATGATAGAACTGCAAAGAGAAATAGATGAATCCACTATAATAGTTGGAGACTTTAACACCCCTCCATCAGAAATGAACAAATCTCTCAGGCAGCAAATCAGTAAGAACATACTTCACCTCAAAAACATCAATAAAATGGATATAAATGCACATCTATAAATTACTTCAGTCAAAAACAGCAGGCTACACATCCTTCTCAAGCTCACATGGAACAATAACCACAATACGCCATGTTCTGGGCCATAAAACACACCTTAACAAATTTTAAAAAACAGTAACCATACAATGCTCCTAGACCAGAATAAAGTTAAACTGGAAATGACACAAAGACAGTTGGAAAACCCCCAAATATGTGGAGATTAAACAACATACTTCTAAAAACATATAAATCAAAGAAGAAATATATTAACTTAAATGAAAATGAAAAGACAACTTGTGAAAATTTGTGGAATGCAGTGAAAGCAGTGCATAGAAAATTTATAGCACTGAATGCATATATTAGAAAAGAAAGATCTAAAATCCATAGTCTAAATTTCTACCTTAGGGAACTACAAAAAGAAGAGCAAATTAAGTCCAAAGTAAGCTAAATAAATAAATAAGTATCAATAAGCCAAGCAAACTAAGAAAAGGAAAGAGCAGGCACAAATTACTAATATCTAAAATGCAAGCGGGACATCACTACAGATCCTATGGACATTAAAAGGAAAACAAAGGAATATTAGGAACAAACCATATGCCCAC